AGCAGAAGGGTCTGTGGCTGATGTTGTTAAAAGACATCTAAGAGAGATAATTTGTCAATTTTCTGTCCAGCCTGGCTTGTCCATAGCATTTGCATTGTCACCCACGGGATCCTGGGGGCTCCTGGGGGACATCTGGATAGGGCCAAAAGGTGCTGATGATGCCACCAGCCCCTGATGCTCCCACTGCAAACCCAGGGAACCAGGGAGCCTACCCAGGTTCTCCCCTAGTTTGGGGTGAAACGAGCCCAGTTTGATGCCTTCGGAGGGTCCCAGCTCCTCGAAGCTTGGCGTTCCCACCCTCAGCTCACTTGTGCTGGGAGGGAAAGAAAAACACCAAGTGCGGTGGCAGTAAATATTGCCAGGAGTTTCTCGCTGGCATTTGCTTTTGGTAAGCAAAGATGCAGAGAGAAAGATCAAAGCTGTCTGAATAGCTTTTAATTACGAGCCTCAATTGCTCTATTTTCTCTCCGAAAAGTATTACAATTATCTAACAAAGCTCTTCGAGTGGAATTAGGCACTAGCCCGAAGCTTCAAGAGCTGTTTAGCGGCTATTTTCCCTTTAAAAAAAAAATAATATTTGATGTCTAGATAAAAAACAGGCACTCCTATAAGTGCCTAAAGCCAAATCCAGTGCTCTCTACATATAGAGGCAGCTGGAAAGCTTTCCCAGAGCGGAGGTGACCGTGGCTCTGGAAAGCCACCACCCCTGGCCTGTGTCCCCTCAGCACCTCCCGCATGGGGACAGGGAGTCCCCAGGGAGGGCAAAATAAACCACAGCTTTATCCCAGCAAAAGACAGCTCCCAGCAGGGACGTGTCTCCGTTTTCAGCTCCTGGAGCTGGAATTTATTTTTCCCTCTTTCGCCAGGGTTTCTGTGCATCATCATCTGCCCCTGCTCTGCAGCCTTCCCTGGGCAGCTCACAGCTGAAGAACAAGGCAGCTCGGGAGTTTCTAAAGCCCAAAACATCCCCCGGACAAAATTCAATAAGACAGATGAACAAGGAATGCCGAAAAAATAAGGATTCGGTTTCATAAACTTAACCTTCAAATGAGATCAGAGGCTGGTAATTAATAAAGTCAGATTTCAATGCAATGGAGCGTCCCGAGAGACCCAGCCTGCTGCTGCCTCGTATCGATGCGATGGATGCGGGTGTAATTACATTTCTCTGCGCTGTGTGGTGGAGAAGGAGGGCAGCTCTGTGCTGCGGGCTGAGCTCAGCCAAGCTCCTTCCTTCCAGGCTGAGCAGGAGCCAGGCAGGGGAGGCTGGAGGAGCAGGGATGAGACAGGTCAGAGCCTCGCCACCAGGCTCACTTCCATCCCTAACACACGAGGTGGTTTTCCAGGCGAACGCATTGAAGCTGAACCCCAGAGAAGATGCCAAAGCAAACTGTGGGGAGAGCAGCCCTGCTTGGTTTTCCATCCCCACCGCCGCAGGAATGCAGGGAGCAGGGATGAACGCTAGCAGCCAGAGGTTGGGCTCGTTTTCTGCTCTTTTAAGCTTAATCCCTGGAGGCGAGCGATTATCTCCAGGAATTTTCTCTGTGGTTAAGCAAAGCAAGAACAGCGCGATGACGAGACGAGGGGAAGTCCGAAAGCTGTGAACAAATGACCTGTGCGCGTGGAGAAGTTGCCATTAATGCCTAAAATTGAGCAAACGTTAAACAGCCGAGTCACAAGGCAGGATTCATTTCACATGGGGGAAAGCAGGCTGAAAAGCCATTAATCTTGATTACCTATTGACTGCATGGCTTGTGTTTTTGTTCCTCATCACGGAGTGAATCAGCATGGCAGGGTCCTTTTAGAGTACTTACCGCACATGGCAGGCTGAAAACACACACAAAAATCGATGTTTATAGCCTGGATAGAGCCGCTGCAAACTTCGCCGGGTCCCCTCTCCGCTGCCAGCAGAAAGGTGAGCTGATGCAACCAAGGACCAGATTGTGGGAACGCGCTAATTCTGCCAGCGGTTTCCTTGGGAAAAATAAATAAAAAAAAATAAATAAATAAAAATCAAGCTGCCTGCTTAGCTTCTTGCCAATTCATCCTTCACCTCACCGTGCTCAAAATCTGTTTGGCAGGGCTGGTGCTGCTTGGCTCTTGGCTCCCGAGCACGCTGCCAGGCTGGATGCCAGCGGTGGATGAGTGCAGGCAGGAGGGCTCCTCACATCCCCCAGCCCCACGGGAGCTACGGCCCCTTGCACTAGTTACATGCACTGGAGGAAAAATGCCTTTTGCTGCATTAATGGACAGGCTGCGTCCAGAAATTGGTGCCAGCACGGGCTCTGCAGGTCAGATTTGCCACCCAGCTCCTATATACTGCAGGAGGAGGCAAGGATTGGGGAGTCAAGCAGGAACAAGCAGCAAGGATGCGCATAACACCATCATGGAGCCACAAATGATGCAACCTGCACATTGCTCAGGAGCATCCCAAGCAGTGCCAGCACAGAGCAAGGGGATTTGTTTCCAGGGACCCAACCAGCAGCTCAAGGACAGAGGAGCAAATACCCTGGAAGCCAAACAGGAAAGATGTTCTCCTAGGGTGAAGGTGGTCCTAGCTGGTTTGGGGTATTATTTTTCATTTTCCACTCCAAGGAGTGATTTTTTTGGGTTGCTGAAGCAGAAATCTTGCGGCTGCTCACAGAGCAAGGCAGGGGAAAAGGCGACCTGGGTGCCCCGGGCTGCAGAGAGCCCCCATCACTCCTCTGCAGACAGCTGGGACTGCGCTGCTTTAAGGGAGAGAGAGAGCAAAGTCAGTTTACATGGCTGATTAGCATCATCGTTGCCAAGATACATACCCATGTTGTTCTATTTATTGATCATTTCAGTCTGTCATGCAATTTATCCAGGCTTCGGGGTAGCAAGGAAAGGAACAAAGGGAGTTCAGGAGCCGGGGGGCTCCTTCTGGAGTGTACCCACCCCGTTAGCAGTCCCTTTGCATGTCTGCTCAGTGCTCAGACAAATCCTGAAAGTCCTTCTTTCGGAATGAGTCATGGCCTTAACTCGTATGATATTACGTGTTTGAAGCAAAGGAGGCATGTAGCCCCGGTTTAATGGGCAAGGCAGGGGCATGCAGCCACTCAAAATGGATGTGCATCAGCTCAGACATGGCAAGGAGGGGCTACAGATCCTCTAACATCCCCTCCCACCCCCAAAAACCCTGTGCCAAACACCAGTTGGCATCACAGCTCTTATTTCTTATAGCCTTGTATCTCTGCTCCTCACACAGCACCGTGATGCTGAAACCTCCGGACCTCATTTCATTTTCCTGTCCTTATTCCAGCCTCGGGGCACGGCTCAGAAGGTTCAGGTCGGGGATGTGAAGCACCCCAGAGAAGCAGGGGCAAGCCCTGCACCATCACGGTGATGGACCCACACAGAAACCCAGCGTGGAGGGGAAGGCACCACCAGGGTACAGCCCAGGAGCCTTCCAGAGGAGGTTCCCCTTGCTGGGGGAAGAATCCTGCTCACACATAAATAGCCACAAAAATAGCTGAAGGGAAGCACGGGGAAATGAGTGGGGAAGCAAAGCCGAGCGTTTCTGGCAGAGGCTGCTTTGCTGCCAGGCTTCTTTCTGAGCAGGTAGCAAGGGCTGCGCCAGCACCAGCTGCTCCTGCAGACCTCCTGCATTAAAACACGGAGGCTGCAGCCACACAGAGCACCCATCTCCCCACAAAACAGCACGGGACGGGGGGCATCCTGCTCCCAGCACCCAGCCACAGCACCCCAAATACCCAGCGGGAGATCAGAGCCCAGCTCCAGCTCCTTAAGCTGACAAATCTTCCTCTGGAGAGGGAAAATAAATAAATAAAGAGAGAGACATATTTGCAGTCTAGCTCCTCATGAAAACACTTTGGAAAAATAGCCTTGGCAACCTCTCAGCATTAGATAATGTCTTTATCAGGGCACCAGTGGCAGATGGTGAAGGGCTTTGCGGCTCCCAAGGGTGCTGGGCACTGGGAGGGTGACTTCAAGCGAACGCTGACCCGACCCAGAGACCCTCAGTCTAATCTGCAGCTCAGTAAAAGACAGCTCTGCCCTCCCCGGGTAAGTTCTTCCCGTGGCATAAAACCACCTGAACTGCAGCGAGGTGCAGATTCGGCACCTTATTGCTGCTTGTAGAAATTGTGGTTCCTTTTTGGGGAAAGCAAAACAGCCTGGGCAGAGGCAAAAGGAGACGTGGTGCTGGCAGAGCGAAGCATCCCTCAAAAGCCAGAGCTCTGCCCGGAGGTGCCAGTGCCATGTGCCAAGGGGAGTCCTTGGGGAGAGCTCAGCTCATCCCTCCCTGGGCCTCCACGGCCAGCAGCAGCAGGGAGAACGCTTAGGACATTAATAAATTCCATAATACTGAGTAAAGTGTTTTATTTTATGGCTTTGCCATAAGAACTCACTCCTGGGTACTTATAATTAACTGAACTAGAAAAGCAATAAAGATTTCAGTGTTGTTTTTTTTTTTTCCTCACCAATTTTCTCTCTTTTTTTAAATTTCTTTTTAAAAAAAATCCCCACTGTTAATAAAGAAACCTCTGCTGCTATTTACCTGCCCGGGTAGGAATATTGATCTCCATGCAGAGAGAAGACACTTTCCTTATTGCACATCTCACTAGATAATCCATCTAGTCAGGCTGCAGAATATTGCTTTGGCTTTGTTTTCAGAGCAGTGCTGTAACTCCCCATCCTACCCAGCCCTGTAAACCCAGAGAAGAGGCAGCAGGGGGTTGGGAAGGGCTTGTTCCAGCCCTGCACCCCAGCAGCCGGTGCCCCATGGGACCTGCCTGCAGTGGGGCTTTGGGTGCGGGCAGCTCGTGTCCCTCTCCATCCACCCTTTTTGTAGTTTCCTCACATCTTCTGCTTCCAGGCTGCCTCCAGACAAAGCCAGCGTAAGAAACATCCCCTCTGACCTCAATAAAAAGGGACTGGGTGCTTTGGGTGGAGAAATAAGCCCACGTGCAGGCACCCCAGCAAGCTGCTCCGTGCACTTCAGGCTTCCAGACTCCGCATCATTCCAAGTACACGGGGTTTTTATTTTCCTTTATTAAAGCGCACAAGTAGCCACCTAGGAAATTGTCACTTACACGGCGGTAATTGTAAAATCATATCAACACAGCCATTTCAGAGGAGAATTAAAGAGCCTGTGCTCCAGCCGGCCAGCCGATCACAAGCCTTTAACTCTGTAGGCACGGTACAATAAAGCTTTTGCTTCCAGGTTTTGTTGTTCTTCTCATAACGAACTCCACTGAGCATTGAACAGAATGCCTAAACACGTTCACTGCAAGGGCCACGGAATTACCCAAAAGCTCAGTAAACACACATTTATTGGGTACTTGATTACGCGAGATTGTTGCAGCATAGTCATTATAACAAAATCCTTATAAAAAATGCCAAACACTGGGGGATCTTCAGAGGGCATAAATCTATTTAAAAACGCAACCAGGAATTACAAAGGGAGCGTGGCTGCTGCTGAACCTGAACTAAGGAGCTTCCTCCTGCTCCTCCGCAGCTCTGCAGGAGGAGCCCAGCAGCCGTGTCCCAACCCCACGTGCACCCAGCACCTCGTTCCCAGGTGATGCTCCATGCTCATTTTATCGCAGGCACGGATGCAGCCAGCCAGGATCATGGTCCTGGGCAGTCTCCTTTACATACCTGGGGACTGTAGGAGATTTCCTGGTGAGTGCAAGGGGACAAACATCCATCGCAAAGTGCTTAAAGTGCCCAGAGCTCCTCCTCTCCCTTGGTTATTCAGGGGAAGTGCTACTTGTAAAAGTTTTCTCTGGTACCCCTCCAGCTTCCCAATCAAACGCTAAACAGCGTGAAAATCCTTCCAGCTTGCACAGTTTGCAAGGGGTCTGGGTCCTATACGTGGGACACTGGAATCGCATCTCTATTTTATATTTTAAGCCCAACCATGGGGGAAACACTTCTACATAGAAATATAACATCGGATTCTTTTGTACAGCATATATAAAGAACATGACAGCATCAAATATTGGCAAATCAATACATTAAAAATACAGAATCTCATAGACCAGAGCACAAGAAATATATATTCAGGTGAAATCTGTACAGTTTGGCTGATGATGCCGTTTCTTGCGTTGGGGCTGACCTCTCCTCTCCATGCAGAGGTCGCTGCTTCACTCCCCCATCAGCACCACAAGCCACCACTCCCCAAGGCTTCCCGGGGCTGTTGTGCTACAAAACCCCAAGTCTGCTGTCCCTGCCAGAGCAGAGGGTGCTTGGTGGTTAAACTCTTCGGGAATACTTCCCAAATTTCATTTTATACCAGGCTTTGGGAGAGGAAAATCAGTCTGGTTGGGGGTGGTGCCTCAGCAGCATTTCCCCAACTCTTTTAGCATCACGTAAGTCATTTTGCTTAAAAAAAATAAACTGCTTTTTGTATGGTCTGTACACTGTTTATCTGACACGGAGCAGGTGGGACTGTTTTAGGCTGCCCTTCACACCAGAAACACCCGTGTCTCCTGGAGGAGCTGCCAGTGTAATGCTCTGAGCTGGCTTTCCCCTATACATAAGTACTTGTGTACATAAGCCACCTCTTTCCTTCCCCCTCTCAGCAAGGAGGGTCACCAAGGCATGCTTGGCAAGCCAAAATCCCATGCCATAGCTGTACCCATAGCAATATTGAGACGCGTGTGCGTATATACAGCCATTCTGTCCATTATCACAACGGAAATACAGTGCTTAAAAAAAATAAAATTATAGCAGCATGTAAACAAAGGTGTGTTCATTTCATCTGTCTTTTCTTCCTCCTCTTCTGAGCTGTGCTCGTCAGCTTTGGCAGCCCCCCCTCAATGCCCAGCTCGGGCAGAGGATTTTGCCGCAGAGCTCCGTCCCCAGGAGCTGCCCTTGTCCGCCTGAGGCTTCGAGCCCCGGCTCCTGGCAGCTTGAATTTCCCTTTCTACCAGCTCTGCTCCCTCCTCTCCCTCCCCGCAGCCTTCCCCTGGCGGTGACTCATCCTGGAGATGATCTTGGGTTTGCTCCGACAGCCGCTGCCCGCTTTGGCTTCAGCGAAGTCTCATTTCAGAGCAGTGCCGCAGGAATAAAACCGCACACGAGCTACCTGGTGAGCCACGCGAGCCGAGAGTCTGAACTCAGGGAGGAGAAAAAGAAATGGAAAAGTCTGCGTTTTGTCTGTCTCCCAGCAGCAGAAGCGTAAGGTGCAGGAGCAATGCCTGTTTGAAACCCTTAAATCCCAAATTCTCCACAGCGTTGCAAACCATCAGGGTTTCACAGGAATCAAAAGGCTGATTTTAGAGATGTTCCTCAGTGCAGCGTGCACCGGAATTAAAAATACATCAAACTGCCTTTTTTTTTTTTTTTTGCATGCTCTTGCGGTGTCCAATTTGCCCAACCCCCAAAATTATTTCCTTGGTTTCTTGCCTCTCAGTCCTGAGGCCCTGCTAAAGGGCCGTTATCTGAGTTAGCTCCGACGTGGGGGTGGTTGGACTCTGCTGGGCGACAGCCACCATGGGAATTTCCATGCCTAGTCAGGCCGGATTGTTAGTCCCCTCCGAGTTCTTGCAGGCATAAGCCACATCCTTGGCGATGCTGCACATCCTGTTGGACATCTGCAGCTCCGTCCTGAAGGCGCTGGGGAAGCAGAACTTCTTGAAGCACGCCTTGAAGTTCTCATCCAAAAAGGCGTAGAGGACGGGGTTCAGGCTGCTGTTGGCGTAGCCCAGCGCCGTGCAGAAGCAGGAGATGGCCAGCTCGAGCTCGCTCTCTGCCTTGGCGCCCAAGCACTGGACCAGCACAAAAATCTGGATGGGAGTCCAGCAGATGATGAAGACGGCCACCACCACCAGGACCATGCGGGTGATGCGCCTCAGGTTTCGGTCCTTCTCCTTGGAGCCTGAGAGGACGCGGACGTTCTTGAGGCGTCGGATCATGAGGCTGTAGCAAATGGTAATGATCAACACGGGGATCATGAAGGAGAAGAGAAAGACGCAGATGCCAAACACTGGATCCCAGTAATCCACGGGTGAAGGGAGCTTAATTAGACAATCAATTTCTGCAAGGGAAAAATAGAAAGGAGAGGAAGATCAGCAAACCCACGTCATGAACAGAAACATCTGCACTTTCAGTTTGGTTCGGCATGCTTGATACAGGAAAAAAAATAGCAGTGAGGCAAAGACAAAGAGGCAAGGGATAAAAAGGCTGTACAGCAAGGAGCTCAACCCACTGACTGCCCCCTCCAGTACCTCGCCAACCCATGGCCACTCCATCAAACTCTCCCACCCCAGATGTCTTTTCACTGACCATTATTTTCATTCTCTGCAGATCCCATCACCATCGCTGGGATGCCGAAGACAGAAGCCAGTGCCCAGATGCAGACGTTCACCACCTTGGCCTTGTGGGGAGTGCGGATGTCCAGGGCTTTGATCGGGTGGCAGATCGCGATGTAGCGGTCAACGCTCATCATTGTCAGGGTGAAGGTGCTGGTGAACATGTTGTAGTAGTCTATAGAGATGGCAATCTTGCAGAGGACATTGCCAAAGGGCCAGAAGCCCAGGAACGTGTCCGTACCCTGGAAGGGTAAGGTCATCAGACACAAGGTATCGGCCAGAGCGAGGTTAAAGATGTAAATGTTGGTGGCTGTCTTCATCTTGGTGAATCTGAAATGCAGAAGTGAGCAAGGGTTAGAGCTCCAGCTGCCCTTGACGAGCGATGGGCAAGGCACCACGGTCTGATGAAGAGGGCCCTCTGTCATGGTAGGAAGGAGACGTTGTATTTTTCTAACAAATAAATGAATAAATAAATAAATAAATAAAATGGAAGAGAGATTGAACACTGCTCCTTCCTTTCTACCTCCCATGAGCTCATTCCCAGTTCCTGCAGTGATGAAAATGGTGCTTCCACACACGGCCTCACGGGCAGGAAAAGCTTATTCCCACAGACCGCACGGAAGGACAATGAAAGCCTGAGGCTGTCAACTCCTATCATGCTTTTTGAAAAATGACTTCAATAAGACTAATCTAGAATTTCATCACATATGGCTTCATTATCTTAAATACTGGTGAGAGCTTTAGCCAGTAAGCTGATTTGAAAGGCTTCATACGGCCCAGGGATAAGTTGATTAGCCATTTTGTATAGGCTCATAGCCAAAGACGATGGCTAACGTGAGCTGTAAGACCTGGGTGAGATGGCAAGCCCTCGTGAGGAATGAGATGTGTATCAGACATCAAAATATCACAGTGGATCTTCCCAAGGAAAGAGACAGTTTGGAGATAAAGACTTGAGCCAAACTCCAAAGGGTTTTTGTCATTATTATATCGCTTTTATCGCGTGAACTGACGGCCCCAAAAGATTCACCTTGCTCTAACGATGGTCATCTCCTTTTCACAGATGGGAAGTGATGCTGGGAAAGATGTGATCAGCTGCCCAGGGATGCATGCAGAGCGTGTAGAAATGGAAACTCAGCTGTGACTGAGCCTAACCTTTCAGCTCCAGGATGCTCCTCGCACGGACACAGAGAGCTAAAACGCTGGCATATTTTAAAACTTCAGTTCATCTATCATTTACTATACTAATGGCCTTTGCAGAAGCATTGCCAGACATGGCAGACGATGATACGTTATTAATCGAGGGCAAGTTCATTTGGGAGCAACACTGAAACCCATAAACTACTGCGCGATTTCCACTTCGCTAGGCACTAGAATATTACGGGGTCTGATTTGACCTGAAAAGCTTTTGGTCAAATTAAGCCAGGACAGCAAAGCCAAGGAGCAAAGGAGCCCACCTTTGACCTTGAAAGCCAAGGGAAGGTTTTGGAGGGGGTGAACATTGGCAGAAGCACCTGATGGTCCCACGTGAGCCTGAGTCAGGCTCCTCCTGGCCCAGAAATCACAGCCGCCAAGCAAGTGATGGGTTCTTAGAAAGCCTCCTCAGATCAAACTAATTTCTATAACCAAAAGCAGTAAAGGAAAAGTACCGGTGTCTTTCCTGTTGTGAGGGGATTTTTTTCCCTTCTGGGTCAGCAGCTTGTGTCAGTGGTGGGGGGAAAGAAATTAAATCATTTTTCTTTATCAGCTCATAAAAATACATAAAAGTGTTGTCAGCTCAGGCTTCAGGAATTTATTCAGTCACCTAAGACTGTCTTAGCAAATGACTCCTGGGAGCTGTAGGCTGCCTCTTTGCCCTCAGACCAGGCTGATCTTCCCTTCCCAAAGGTCAAGCTTGTTCCAGTCCATCCTTACAGGATGCGAGGACAGAGGCAATTCATCACCATGCCTCTAACTCTGGCTTCTTTCACTGATGTTATAACTTACAGGAATAACAACTGCATTAAAAAATAATAATTTTTAAAAAGGCCCACTTAATCACATAGAGGGGAAAAAATAAGAAATTGAGCAACTTGAGAAGCAAGCAACAATCCCTTTGCATATACCACTAAGGCTGGACCCATCCTGCATCCACAGAGGACAACACTGTCCCCATCCATGCATGCCCCCGTCCCCAGCACAATGAGAAGTCTGGGACATCTCAGCCAGCCCTGTCCAGGCTGCAAACCTCAGCTCTCCATCCCAATCCCTCCACCCAGGAGGCCTCGCTGTCCCCTCCCTGCTGTCCCTGTTGTCACCCCCTCCTCGAGGTGACAGCAGAGTCACCTCCCCTGGCAGGGAGGATGTGCTGGGGGCAGCTGGCCCCACCGCTTGCCTCCTTCAGCTGACCTTCAAGTGGATTCTGAGCCATTTTTTTTTTTGTTCTTAACAGGTGGAGAAATTAATTTACACCTAATTACTTGTAGCTCCACTTCTCTCCGCACGCTGAGAGCCAACAGCCATCATCCCAACAAACCAATGTTCCCAAACATTTCCAGAATGTTCAGTACAAACAAAAATCAATTAATCATTTCTCTGTGGATTAACCTTCCTTTTCTTTTTTCCCTGGGAACCGAGAGTGTTCTCTTTCTTAATCTGCACAAAAAAAAAAAAATAATAATAAAATAAAATAAAAAATAAGCTCTCAGGCTGTAGGAGGCACCTAAGACTCCCCCCCAGCACGGCTCCGACTCGGATAAGCCTCTGGACCCCTGGAGGACATCACCTCCCTGCTGAGCCACTTTCTTGCTCTTGGTCACAGAGGCAATTTCCTAATGGAGCATCTCCTGCAGGGCAGCCCAGCCAGCTCCCAGCTCTCCATCCTGCTCCACCTTTGCCACAGATGTAATCCCTTTTGCTCTGCTCTCCTGCTCTCCCAGCTATTGAAGCCGAAGAGGAAAAGCATGGAGACAGCAGCTCAGCGCTTGGTTTCCTCCTGTTTTTTTGCTAAGTGAGCCCCCAGGCAGCGTTACATGGGGAAAATCCTTCAGGGGAGGGAACCTGCAGCTTGGGAGAGAAGGAGGTGGGAAGGCAGCAGCTCTTCTACGTGCTGGGCTTTGAGGTCTTGTTTTCGGCAGGGATGGATGGATTCTGCCCCTGGCTGAGCCTCAGGGCAAGCTGCAAAGCTGTTGTTTTGGCATCGCTCCTCCTGTCCACCACAGAACAAGCCGCCCCTGATGCCCCAGGGGTAAGCACCAGCCGGTTGCAGCAATCCCAGAAGCCTGAAACAGGGCTGCAGACACCAGGGTAGAGGGGACAGAGCAAAGCCTTCAAGCCCAGGGGAGCCGTGAGCATCACCTCCAGGCGCCCTCTGCCTCTCCGAGCCTTTTGGTGGTGATGCTCTAACTCCAGCTCATTGGGATGCAGACAGTGCTGTTCCCTCGAGCAGCTCCCTCCGTCCCCACCAGCCTTCGCTGCCCTTCCCGGACACGCAGAGGTCTGCAGAGAAGCAAAACACAGCAGAAGAGGCTCAGGAGGGTTTTTGCAGAGCTGCTCCAACCGTGACGGTGGAAAACAGCAGCGGTCCAGTGACAGCTCTGCTCCCAGCCTGCCCGCAAGCCCAGAGGTTGTACAAAGCTGGTATTTGATCTGGCACGGACCGTCCTGGTTTGTGTCACCCCTGCTGCACACCCACGCGGTGCCCTGCACGTCCCCGCCGCTGCGATCGCTGCTTCAGAGCCAGCTCATCCTGAAATTCCTCCCCAATCTGAGCCTGATTGTTCCTCCTGGTGCAACAGGCCACAAACAGCCAGCAAATTTATGAAGCGAGCTTAAAGCGTTTTGGACGACGAAGCCAGATGCTCCCACAAAAGCAGCCAGCACCACTGGCACGTAAAAGCCTGTTAATTACCTGGCAGGATGGTGGCTAACGAGCAAGGGGTTAAGGAGGCTGCCGCCAGCACCAGGGCTTTGGGACGGGCGATTTTCTTGCCCTTTGAGTCTCAGCTCAGTGTCTGGGTGACAGCTTTGACAAATGAGCCGTGCTCCCCTCCAGGAGCCTCTGGGGAATGGTGTCAGGAGCCAGCACAGACGGGGACAGGGACACCGCGTGGCCCCGACTGGTGCCATGCCGAGGGCACAGGCTGGGCTGCTGCAAAAAAAAACTCTACAGCTCACCCAGGGTCTCGTAGGGGGGCTCAGGGCTGCCTTCAGTTTTAGGAGGGTGTTTGCCAGTGCCTGCTCTGCAGCAGGATGCTCTCAGCCCCATACGCAAGCTGGATCCACCCCTGCTGCATTGCTCCAGCCCTAAATGCCACCCCAGCTCCTGGGAGTTGCTCAGCCCCTAAAAGCGCCAGGAACCAACTCCCAAATTAAGCATCACTCAATTACTGTTGCACATGGGTGACTCCCTTCATCTCATCCCACCAAAGCCAGGGGAAAACAACAGCACGGGCCTTGGAGCTGCGAGCAGGAGATGGGGAGAGCTGCCACGAGCCTTGTAGCCAAGTCCCTGGCCTGGGGGACAATTTGCCCAGGTCCGTGGGGACCTGCAAGGCAGGGGACTGCGCATCCATCCCCCACAGCCTCTGCCACGGGGACTCTCCCTCCCGCTCTTCCCATTCTGTACAGACCCCTCAGCACGGGTTTCCCTGCTCTGCACAGTGCAACAATTGTCTTTGTTCTGTTTAACCAGGGAAAACTAAAAAGAGGCAGCTCCAGAGCGAGCGGAGGTCTCAGATGGCCTCGCTGGCATCCGCTGGCTCCGCACCGCATTAAACACTCACTCAATTTCAGCTCCGAGACATGCAGCTGGTCAACGTTCTCCCATTAGAAAGCTTTCTATTAGGAAATCAGCGTCTCTGAAACCTCCTAATTAACTCCATTTTCCCTGTCTCATCACAGCCAGCTGCCCTCACCCCCCTGTTCGCGGGGATCGATGCAGGTTTCCAGCAGAAGGACGGATGGCGCAGCCCTGCCCGCGCTCCTCAGCATCCTGCAGCATCCCATCGCTCATCCTACAGCCTCACCTGCAAGCAGTGAATAAAAGGTAGGGGTCTGACAGCCCCAACCTGCCTAAAAAGCTGCTCTGAAACCGTGTTCATCGCCAGGGAGAGCTGAGCAGCCCCAGTGCTTCGCCAAGGGATCTGCACCAGGAGGGAGCCCTGGCACAGAAGGAGGGAGCTGTCCTGCTCCACCCCATGAAGAACCCATGGCAAAGAGCCCTAGAAAGGAGGCGTCACTCCCAGGGAGGTTGACCCAGCACTGAGGAAGGGAGTCCTCCAGACCATCACTGCTGGGCATCGCAGGCAATGGGATGGAGAGGGGACAAGAGGGCTTTCCCAGGCCAGCAGCTGCAGTGGTGGCCCTGCTCCTTTTCCCTGGCACGTCAGAGGCCGTGGAGATTTGGGGTCTTAGTCCCTGCACTACAACGCTGTGGTTGTCCTCGTGCCCCTCGAGATGCTGGGCAGCTGGGTCTGCATCGCCCCCAGCCCATGGCCCAGCCTCAGCAGCACCACTGTGAGAACACCACATCTTTTGGAGACATCTCCATTTTTTCTTCCTGAAAACAAAGATCTTGGGCACCCAGCATGGCACAGCTCAGTTATGAGGGATCCCAGCAGCCTGTTTTTTCCCCCAAAAACCTACCCATGCTGTGCTGTTCAACTCCTCCTTGCACGTTCATTAAAAGCAGCCCAGGAAATATATGCAGAAGGGAGCAGACAAACAGCAGAAGAAGGGAGGGAGGGGAGGCATTATCTCAACGGGCAAAGGAGCTCCACAATGAGCGAGCAGAACAAAGCCGCAGACGAGGCAGATTTCCACAATAGGCCCTTTACTGTCCAGGAAATTGTGCTCCTGACAAGGGCCCTTCTCGGTCTTATCCAATTAGTTCTTCAAGCACTAGGAGGGGATTGGCAGTCACATGGTGACTGTCACTACAAATTAATCATTCCAAACGTTAAACGACTCCAAATATAATAGAGATGTAGGTTGGCTTCTACAGCAGAGGGGAAAACCCAGAGGAGGCTTGGAGTTCTTATTTTTGTCTGAAATACCAAGAGATTTTAAACTTTTCCCCGAGCTGTAAAAATCTCATTCAAGAGGAACAAACAAGCCTTCCTGAAGGCTCCAATTTTCTTGAGTGCTGATATTAGACTCTGTGTTTCCCTACTCCATGAAAAACAGGAAACAATTACCGTCTACATCACCAAATCATTCCTTTTTTTTGTGGAGGATAACACGCCAGTTTCTTACAGCTTGGGTAGCGTGTTGAAGTCTTGTTATCCCTGCTGAAAGGAAGGATGAAAACAGTTTTCGTAGGATCCACTGCAGTGGGTTTGCCATTTTTTCCCCATTAGTGGAAGAGAAGATATATTTGAGAATCCCCAATTCCCACGTTGGCTTGCCAGCAACCAACTTTCAAGCCCAAAAGATGCAATTTAAAGCACGAAGCCCAGGAAGCACTCAGGCTCCAGTCCTGGGAGAAAACCTGTGCTTGAGAAGTCAGCTGGGCCAGCAGAAGACACGCACGTCTGCTAATTTGGCATCTCTGCATGGATTTACATATTCGACCATGGTTAAATTTGAGGTACTGAGTTTGGTTTATCACATCTGCTCCAAGGGTAAGGGCAAGGAAAGAAAAATCCTTTTCAGAGGTAACCAGAAGTGGCACCTAGAGATGCTTTAGTTCAGTTATAACCTCTCCAGTACATGATTCAAGTGGTCCTTCAAGGACCACATAGAAATACTGGGGGAAAAAAAAAAACACAGATCAATACCAAAAAAGAGTAAATGAAGAGTTAAGTCTGTATGTATATAGGATTGTACTGGGTAAAATGGAACAGGGAGAAGGGGAAGAGGCCTGGGTGGATGGGGGGTGATGCTTGCCTTGAGTTTTCTATCATTTAAAATGAGTAAAAACTGAATACAGAAGTTCAAGGGGAAATTTTAAGGCTAAATCCTGCTTTCTCTTGGTTCCATTTATCCACCTGCAAGGCATCCAAGCCAAAAGGATCAAACCTGAAGCCACCATTTTGGAAGCGTGGCCCTGCACAGGCACAGCACACGTCCACCCCGACCAGGGTGCTGCTTTGGGACATTTTTGTTCCTAACAAGAGTGACCACAACCCCGGGGCAGCAGCCAGCAAGGTCCTGCTGTGGGGACCCTGTTCCTTAGGGGAAGGAGGGATTCTTCTCCCCAGGGGCCAGCACACACCCATGTTCACAGCCAGCAACGTGACATTGATATTTGGGACAAGAAACCAGCGCCCAGCCCAGTTCCATGAGGATGAAACGATGGTGGCTGTTCACATCCCATGAGACCTCAAAGACTGTGAATAAATTTCTGCCAGAGCTTCTCCTCCTGACACACACCTGAGGTTTGTAGGTGCTGTGGGTGAGGAGCCCACCCCTTCCCCTGCCTGCACAGCAGCTCGGGCACCCCCGGGAGCTGCATGCCATGGATGGGGACTTTTCCCTCGCCCATTCCCTTTGACTGCTCTCATGTGTGCCCACTTGGATGACTTTACTACAGTAAAAAACTACAAACTACCCAGATGTGGCACTGCCAGCCCCCTCTGTGCTGATGTGAGCCCTTCTCCCTGCCGTGAACTCGTCCCCAGGAAGAGCTGACAGGCAGCCTGAGGAGCAGGAACGTCCCTGTGCCCTTGTAGCAGAGATTTAGCCTCCATCCGCTGACCTGTGATAATCTTTGTGAAGGAGAAAAGAAGTTTACCGTGCCTTTTCTGTGCTGGCAGCATCCACCTGCACCAGGAACCCGCTAAGATGTGTATGCAGGATGGAAGCTGGCTCCTTAGCACACAGGGCACGGAGATCAGAGAAGGGCGGCTGGCATTTGACATAATCATAGCCCTGACAGTCACAGGAACTCATTTTGCACTTACAGGGGGGAACAGGGTTTCTGATCCCAGGGCAGGGAGCGTTAAGGTGCCAGGGGCATGCAGGGAGGTCAGCCAGTGCTGCTGGAGCCCTTTGCTCCATCCCTCTGCCAAGGTCCCTGCCCTCCCAGCTCCAGAGCAAGGAGCCATCCTCATCTCCACAGCATCCTGACATCATATTTATTTTCCCAAAGAGTTGGAAGAGCTGCACCTATTGTTTTCTCCCCTGTAAGAGTAAGACTGAGCCTCGCAGCAAGTCCTTTCCCTCGGAATTAGGTTCAGCTTTGGGAAAGGGCAGCTCCCAGACGGAGCAGCACCTGCAGCTGGGTGCCGGACACCACGCAGGAGGGAGATGTCCCATCGAGGACCAGGCACATCCCAGCAGCTGGATGCTCCCAGCACTTTGCCCTCCCCGGGGACATTCAGCTCCCAAAAAAAAAAAAAAAAAAAAAAAGCCCCCCTTTTTGAGCAGATCTGCACGCTCTGTTCCATTCTCTGGCTTAAACTTTAGGAGGCACCAAAGGGCAGCTGAAAGCTGGTGGGAACCTTCCTCACGCCTGGGGAGGGAGAAAAACCAAATAAAACCAAAACAATGCAACAAACGCCACATCATTGCCCCTGAAGCACATCGCAATTACCGGGGAAGCACCTGTCTGCTCCCCCCCCCCACCCCGGCACGGATTGAGAGGGGGGAGACGTGCCCCAGCGGCTCCCTGCGGGTCCTACCTGACGATCACGTACATGACGGAGCAGTTGCCCACCAGCCCCACGATGCAGACGATGGAGTAGACGACCACGATGGTGATCTTGATGCTCAGCGGCAGGAAGCTGTCCCCCGTGCTGTTGTTGAACCAGTTGGTGGGGAGGAAGCTGAGGTTCAGCATGGAGGAGTCGTTCAGCAGCTTGCGCAGGTCGGGGTCTTCCAAAATGTGGGCAGGGAAGAGGGGGTCCATCCTGAGCCTCCAGCCCGTGCCAAGGACCTGGAGCACCGGAGAGACGGCGTGAAGCCTGCTGATGAAATAGGATCACAAGCTAAGGGAGAGGGGTGATGTGTGGATCGCTGGGGAGGGCACGGCCCCCCTCTGACCTCCCCAAGAGCATTTTAAGGGGATGCAGCCCCCGGAGCACCCCAAGCACCCCGTGTACCTCCACGCCGCCGGCGCAGGTTACACTGCACCACGCCAGCCCTCCCAGCTCTGCATGCTCCAAACCTGCCTCCCCCAAACCAGCCGGGGCTGGGTGACCCCACAAGCAGCTTTGTGCCCCCCACACCTCCCCCCATTTGAGCCACCGCAGCCTCCAACCGGGGCTGGGGGCTCCCCCCGGCATCCCCCCGACCCCTGCCTGCTGCAGCCCTGCGGCATCCCCTGCAAAGCGGCAGGAAAAGCTCAAAGTTGGGGGAAAAAAATTAAATAAAATAGAATACCAAGCCCCCAGCTGGATGCTTACCTGCGTGCGGGTTTCCCCTCTACCGCATCCAGGCACCCCGGGGGGGTTTTATGGGGGGGGGGGGTGACACAAAGCCGGGCTGGGCACAGCCGCAGGGGCAGGGGGCTGCTCGGTGCAGGCAGGGCTGCTGCCAGCGCAGGGGGCTGCACCCCCAGAGCCCCCGTTTTTAAGGAAAAGGGAGGGATGGGGGGAGAGAAAGAGGGAGGGAGGGAGGGAGGGAAGGAGGGAGGACGGCGGCTGGGCAGAGCCAGCCCCGGCTGCCTGGCTGCTGCCACTGCGTAAAACCAATGCGGGGGGAGTGGTGGTGGGGGGGGTGGAAGGAGAAGAAAAAAAAAAAGGAAAAAAAAAAGGAAAAAGCCAAACCCACCAAAGGCAAATGCGAGCCCACACCTGCGTCCTCCCCCTGCCGCTCGGAGCTGCGGGCTCCCGACCCCCCCCTTTGCAGCTGGGGGGGCTCCAGCACCGGTTCCTTCCCCCCCCTCCCCGAGGACCCCGCAGCCTTACCTGGGGTGGGATCCCGCAGCCGGGCGACCCGGAAAATCGCCCCCTGCCCTACACCCCGAACGCTGTGCTAAGGGGAGAGTGGGAGGCAGAATGGGGAATTTGTCCTAAAATCCGGCAAAAATGCGAGGAGGGCTGGGAACCGGAGCTGGGGGGGGCGTGTTAGGAGCCAGCATCCTGCGAGCAGGGTTCGCTAAGGGGCGTTTGGGACCCGCAGCATCCTGCCCGTGGGATCCCAGCTCGGAAGGATGCGGTCCCGAAGAAGCCGCAGTGGTGGGATCAGCGTGTAAAGGGTGGGGGGGGAGCCATGAGGACCCTGCCCCTAAATCTGGCCCTGGGGGATCGGCACCAACAGCCTCAGATCCGAGCTAAGCTCTGCCACCCCACAAGCAGGGCACAAAAGGGGTTTTTGGTCTGGTGCCTCACCCTCCGGTTCGGTCATCTATCAGATTTCCTACAGAAGTCATTTCCCAGCAGTTTATTTTGGGGTCAGACCTGATTCAGGACACGTTGCTGCTGCCCAAAAGGGGATGGAGAAAAAGGAAAATGGGATCCTGGGGAATGCTGCTTCTCTTCCAGATCCCACAGAGAGCCCCACGCAGAGTTGCTTGCACCCAGCAGACATCGCCCTTCCTGCTCTAATCCCACTTTAAAGCTTGTCTGGGGATATTTAGCACAGAAGCTGCACCTTCCTTGCGAGTAATGGACTGGTGAGGGAGCGCATGGTAATTTTCCTGACTGCTCCCATAAAAGCAGGTCCCTGCTCTGACAAGGAGCAAGGGGGAAAAGCACGAAGCGGAGACGCAGCCCTCCTGTGAGATACAGCAGTGTTTGAAGAAGGGCTTTTTGGTCAGTCCATTAATGAGAGTGTGAAATAAATACTAGCCCAGACATTACTTTAATTGTTAATGGATTGATTTTCGGAGGCTGAAGGAAGGACAGCAGTAAATCAGGGCGAGAGCCTGGCTGGACAGCCCAGGAATCTGTGGGAAACAAGTGCTTGTAAATTCAGCTCTGCTCTGCTGGCTCCCACCCCGATAAGTGCACTTAGCCCTTCTCATTTTATGCTAATCCGGTGCAGCAAAGACGGCATGTTTATTTGGTGTGGGGCTTCTTTTGACCTCACAAGCCTTGTGTTTCGGAATAAGGGCTGTAAAAGAGGATGAGGATTGCTACCTCAGACTACAGAGAGCCAAGACGTGTTTTGTGTCTGGGACAAAACTCTTCCAAAAATCATTCTCCTCCCCCACACTGCTCAGCCACGTCCTCTCACGCAGCAAAGCCCAGGATATTCGTGCTGCACCTCCAGTCCCAACCCCTCCGTTCCATTTGATTTGACCCCAAACTTCATTCAATCCTGAAGATTTCCAAGCATCTCACTCTACCTTGCCTCCTGCTCCTCTCAGCACCCCAGGGCTGAGGGGGGCAGGCACCATCTCAAGAGGAGACTCGACAAATTTCTTCCTCATCAGAAATCTTCCCTACACCCACCTGGGACTCTGCACCAGGGCTGAGAAGGAAGGCCACCAGGATTTTCATCTGTGACCCAAAAGGACTTCTCCCAGCCTATTTCTTGGAAAAAGCCATCAGCTCTTCTGCTTGAGGGTTTCTATGCAGAGAGAAAGGTAACAAAAGCCAAAAAAAGTAACAAGCCAAAAATGTAGCCCTTCTTCCAGGTGATAATTGCCCAGAAAGTGCACATGAAGGCAGCAGATGACACTAGGAACAGATGCTGGATTTACAGAAAGCATCCAGAGCATCAACACACGATTCAAAAACACATTCACACTGCAAATCCTGATTTTCCCCCTCCAAATTTCCACTGAATATCTGCAAAATAAGATTCAAACCAAGGGTGCACATAAACTCGGTGATGAATTGGGTAAATAATTTGGATACCCATAGCAGATTAGAACTGTTCTGGAAGTGACCTTTGTGCATATTCAGTTTGTTTGCTGATTTCCAGAGGATTATAGACGCACAGCCAGGGCCTGGGCATGCCTGTTCTCTGCTTGTTTGGTGGACACGTGCTGGTGGAGGCAAAACCCTGGGTTTTCCCTGCGTACCTCCACCATCTGCCTCCAAACTCGCAGCCCACCCATAGCCTACCCAGTCGTGGGCAAACAAATCTCATCTATTCCAACCTAATCTAGTCCAAGTGCCAATATTTGCAGTCACTGTTGTTTCAACTAGGTTAACTTCGCACGCTGTTCCTCATCACGGAGGATTTTTGCTGCTTTTGCACAAAACAGCCCACGGCCACCTGCACTCCGTAATAGCAACAGCCCACAGCTTTCTGCCTTCCCTTTCAGGAGGTGAAGATATCTGTGTCAAAGCTGTTTTGCCACCTTCAGCACAGTTTGCTGATCTGTTTAATCAAGGCCATCATGAGCAGAGAATTAATTTTGCAAGAAGTGAAATCATTTCGCACAGAAGTGCCTGAGCTGGAGAGGCAAGGAAGGCAGGCAGGGGGCAGGCAGGGGGCCTTGGACCAGCCCAAAAGCAGAGGTTCAGAAATCCATCCATCACTCCTGGGATGATGGGCACCTGCCAGATGCTAATTAGTAAAAGTTTGCACCCTAACCATCAATGGTGGGTGAAATTTGTTTTTGGACATTAATCATTATGTAGAAATTCAGCAACCACCACCAGCATGCACACACAAGGACACAGCCTCATTCCTCCCACCGCTGCCCATACCATGAGCACCAAACACATCTCTGGTCCACATGCACACCCCTCTCCCACCAGAAGGGACAGCGCTAGCAGCACATCTCCCTTGGTCAAGCCACTTGCTTCAATCATCATAAAACCAGTGGTGGGATGAGAAGCTGTGATGGGCAGGTAGATTTCTCCTCTGCCATTAAACATTTGTGAGACCACAAATCTCTGTGCCTGCAGCTGAGCAGGGAGAGCAGCTCCAGCAGCTCAGCTGCACCACAGCTTTCAGCTAAACATCAAACAGCAAGGGAAAAAAAAAACAGGCCAGGTACTTGGGCTTAGTATAAAAAGGCTGCGTGACAGCTAGAAGTTAGAGCAAGAATTTTCCAGAGCACGAAAACCTGCAAGCAAGTGAAATACCTACGGTGGCCGAGCCATGGAAAAGCCCAGGGAAGTCACTGCTCGGCCCTACACAGGTTGCACAAGAAATTCTGGGTTCAGTTATGAAGAGACTGCTTTGCATAATGTCACAGATCTATGGCAAACAGAAAAGCCCCAGTGTTGTTGGCAGGAAGTAATGAATGAAAAGTCAGGGCAGAATGAAAAAATAAAATTGCCTCAGGCCCCAGAACACCTCCCCAGAGTCCCTTCTACAAGGGGATTCAGCATCACCTCAGAGGTGGTACTGACAAATTCTCTTCCTTTGGCTCTGTTATAAATCATGCAACAATGCGAGGCGAGGAGGATTCCAGAAGTGGATTATCTACCTTCCATTGCTGATGGACTAGTCTGAAGCATGAGAAATAACATCTATTAAAGAAGGGGGACATTGACTTCTTCAATATTTGCAATCATATGTATTCATTACAGCTCCTGTACTTGCTCCATCAGACTCCTTTTGGAGGAGGCAGAAGTCTCTGCAGACCCTTTTTAACAATGCTAAGCACCAGAACTAATACATTAAAAAGAAATAACTTTTTGCAAGGTGCAAACAAGGGCCTGGAAACAAACTCACCACGGAGGAAAAAAGAATAAATGTTCCTTCTGACTTCAGCTTCCATTGGGATGCTCCTTAAAGCCCATGAAGGGAAACAGGACCAGCAGGATGTCCCCAGCCATGCCCCCACTGTGACAGATTCTCAGGGAGAGCACATTTGAGACGATCTCAGGACACCCAGTGGGATGATGGTGGGGGTCCAGTCCCTTGCACAGACAACAGATCCCAGTACATGCCACCTAGTCATGGAGCTAGCCATAAACAGCCCATATTTTGAAGCCTATCAGCTGCCCGTATTTTGAAGGATAGCGTGTGTAGTGGGGAGCCTGATCCTTGCTGCTTACAAATAATTCGAGTGGCTCACGCTTTTACCAAAAATTCATTTAGAGCAAAATCCCCGAAGCTCTAACAGGAAAAAGAGTACATGATGCTACCCACTTCACTGATATTTTATTGTTTGCTATCATTATTTGCAATTTTCCAGGGACTGATCATTTCAGGTGATTGTGAACAAGGCCATTAACAATCCTCTCTGCAACATTATATTCCTTTTTACAGCCTCATTCCTTTTTCCATCTCAGACCCATCAACTTTAAAGCGAGCAAACCCCTCCAGTCCTGTAACAGAAACCCTCCTGCCTCCTGCCGTTCCCTCACCTGGGAGGTCGCTGATGTTTCTCACCATTCTGGGTATGGGCACCCAGCCTCCAGGGCTCACTGTTATGGCCCACAGCCCATATGCCAGCAGAGGAAGGGTTTAGGAAAAAGAAATGCTGTATGATTTACACAGGTGCACAGTAAGGCAGAAGCAGATGACAAATGCAGATCCTCCAAGCCCCATCCCAGTATTTTAGCCTCTTGTCCCTTAGGGAAAAACACATCTCTGTGCTCAGGTGGCAATCTTCACAAAGTCCTTCTGAGCAAGGACCTGCTTGTCACCTCTGCACTGATGTCATTTTACACTGTGAGCAACAAATTGACCAAAAAAAAAAAGAAGCCTAGCATCAAGGTATTCAGTGTCCATTTGCTTCCTTCTGAGCTTGCTTTCCTCAAGGTGGTGTCACTCAGGTTCTTGCTGTTATTGGGATCAATAGCAAGAGACGCCTGATAACTTGCTTTGGGGCAGTTTGCTTTCGCAGTTCTGACCCAGCTGAGCACAGTGTCAGAAGTGCTCCCTTGCCCCTTTTTCTAGGGAGAGGAAGCTATGGATGTTTACTGAAAATTCCCAGCAACTGCAGAGAGAAATGTATTCTCATCAGTTTTTGAGAGGTTTGAATTATCTGCCTTGAAAACACTCCAGTCTCTAACAAATCTATAACTAAGAAATGGGAAAAAAAAAAAAAAAAAAGACAAATGCCTTTGAACCATCAGCTAGGTACAGAAGATGTATGTAAATAATATGCAACAAGCAGCAGATCCGCAATGCCTTGTCCCATATGCTATTTATGTGACTGTCATGCTCGCTCTGAGGATGTCATGCAAAGAGCCATGCCAGCAGTGCTGCGCATATGCTCCAGCTCCCCATAATTTTATGTGGGATTGAGAGGCAACTGCTCTGCCGGGATAAGTCGGTTCCAGCAGAGCCGTGCTGCTTTGCAGAAGCCAAAAAAACAGGGCCTGAAGGCTTGACAGAAGAGGAAAGCGTTTCTAAATTGTGTCACAGAGACACCAGCGGTGGCACCCAGGCATGCACAGCAGCAGGACCCATGCATTGAGCAGGCAGAGGCACAGCACTGGAGCGGGGCCACAGCTTGGTGGGCCCCCCAGGATCAAGCAGAGACCCCCCCAAAGCAAACAGACCCCCATGCTTGGGAGCCATATGAGCCCCATGCACCGTGAGGCCTACTCCCCTGCAAAGCCAAGCCTAGGCCACTTTCTGAAAAACACTCAGCTGCACTTTGGCAAACAACCTCCCCATTGATCTACCATTGTCTGCTGCTCAGGCACCTCTTCCAGAAAAATTATATTACTATTCAAAAAAAAACAATAACCTGCAGCAAGAGCCCCTCCTGCCTTGCCTCCAGCCAAAAGCTTACCTAGGAATGGCTTAGTCCCACCACAGATTACACACATCCACACACCTCTCACCCACCAAACCTCCTTCCCCTCTCCACACAGCCCTTTTATCCCTTTCCTGCCCATCCCACAGCTGGGACCAAGTGGTGGCACCTGGGGCTGCTCTTCCCTCCTCAGAGGGCTTCTTGTGCCTGGGAGCTGGGAGAGGTTTGGGATCTGGTTCAGCCGAAGCACCAATGCTGGGACCGAGTGCTGTGATTAAGCCAGGCCTTTGAATGTGAAATATTGTGTGAAAAGTCCCCGCGAAACAGATATCCTACTACAATTTCCACTTCTGAATGTGAAAAATAGTGTGAAAAGTCTGTAAGAAATAGATACCCTACAGCAGTTTTTCACTGTTGGGCTCTCAGGCACACAACGGGAAGACATTAACAACAGCCCTTAAATAACAGGACAGCTCTTTGTTTTCCAGCCAGGAGGGCAAGAAGCAAGGCAGCGTGGTCCAGGTCAGGCTGGGGAGAAAATCATGAAAGCAAAAGATGTCACGGGAACCCCTCAGTGCTGCTGCCCCTCAGCCCATTTCTGGGCCCCTCGTTACATCCCACAGAGCACCCACAAGATCATTTAGCTTCATCTTCTCTCCTTTTTCCATGCCTGTAGCCTCCATCACCTTCAATGAGGTGGTGAGCACCTCCATGGGCATCCTGCTCCCCGTTCATCACAGCCCCTCGCAGCACAACCTCTGCTGGCATTTCATTTTTTCTGTTCCAGACCGTCCAGCTCCAGTCCAAACCAGATCAGATTTCCCCTGGAAACCAGCCCAGATTGCTGAGAAATTCGGATAGCACCCGCAAATGCTAATAATGCCTTCTCAGCCCACGGCCATGCCCAGATATCATGTTGCTCAGCTCTCAGCAGCATCAAGGGGTGGTACCGCTG